GTCTAGGATATTATAATTCAAGTCTATGGGCGGCCATGACAGTGTCCGGTCTAGGATATTATAATTCAAGTCTATGGGCGGCCATGACAGTACCTGGTCTAGGATATTATAATTCAAGTCTATGACTTACAAAATTCTGTATCTTCTTTCTCCCTTCTACTAGTACACTACGAGACCTTTCTACTTTTTCTACCTTTTCTAATCAAACACAAAGTAAGACAGCGGTTTGTGTGGTGTGGCTTATTCTGCATGTCAAGCATAGTATTCTAGGAAAAACAAAACAAAAACATAAATATATATTTGGAAGCACACTACACATGTAAGCGAGAAAAAGAGGAACATTTAACAATGAGAAAGTAAATTGAAGTCATTGAGGAAAGTTTCGCCTTTTCTCTCATAAAAACGATATGCTATGCCCCCCCCTCCCAACTTACTGATCTATTTTATCCTCCAAAACTGCTGTAAGCACATGGCACCTTTCTCATATATAGCAACCAATCAATGGCAGGTATCTGACATCGCAACCAATCAAAGGCATCTTTTTAACACAGTAACCAATCAATGGCATCTTTTTAACACAGTAACCAATCAATGGCATTTTTTAAAAACAGTAACCAATCAATGACATCTTTTTAATACAGTAACCAATCAATGGTATCCTTTTAAGTTATTTTAACACAGTAACCAATCAATAGCATCTTTCTATTATAGCAACCAATCAATGGCAGGTGTCTATCTTAGTGATCAATCAATGGCAGGTGTCTATCTTAGTGACCAATCAATGGCACCTTTGTAACATAGCAACCAATCAATGGCAGGTGTCTATATTAGTGACCAATCAATGGCACCTTTGTAACATAGCAACCAATCAGAAACTGGGAAAGGGCCCTGCGGCCAGTTTGTTCTCTAACCTCTCATTTATCATCACCGTCATCGTTAACGCACAACGGAGTTATTTTTCCGTAAGGCACGACCCTAGTGTGAGAGAGAGAGACGTTTTTTATTTTGTACAGTTTTCATAATACCATTGATGAACCCTTGATCCTTGTGGGTTTTCCTGTTATTCTTCAGGTCATCATGTTTTGGACATACAAGCCACAATTGGTCAAATTTGTAAGAATGAATGTGACACTCAAAGTTAACAAAAAAGACAATCCAAGAATTTCACAGCGAGCTCAGCTCAAGAAAAGGTCAGCTCAGATGAAGTGGTGAGTGGAAACAGATCAAGAGTCTTTTAGAGCGATCGGGGGGTGAGTGGAGTCAACAGGGAAATTGATCAGTGGCGGGGTTTTAGACAAAGTAGATACTGAAGAATATGCAGACAGTCTTGGGTGTGACAGCATAAAGGTGAAGGAGGGGTAGGCAGGGTGTATCAGGGAAGTACTGGAGGGGCAAGCAGGATGTATCAGGGAAGTACTGGAGGGGCAGGATGTATCAGGGGAGTACTGGAGGGGTAGGCAGGATGTATCAGGGAAGTACTGGAGGGGCAGGATGTATCAGGGAAGTACTGGAGGGGCAGGGAGTATGTATCAGGGAAGTACTGGAGGGGCAGGGAGTATCAGGGAAGCACTTGTTACAGCAGACCTGTGGTCAGATTCATAATGCAATGGACTGATGGGGGACATCTACTAGCTTTGTAAACCAAAGCTGTTGATGGTGGTGGTGGTGGTGGTGGTGGAGGTGGAGGGGCGCAGTCATCAGCTCTCACTCTCATGGAGCATTGATATATTGATTGTTAAGTCCCCTTAGTAAACCGAAATCTGCTTCACTGCCCGATTTTTTTAGATTTACCCAGTTTTTCAGTTCCTCAAATAAATGGAAAGGAAAATAACAAGTACATGAGATTTTGGTTTCTTGATCCCTGTTTTCAGATTAAGCATGTTAAGTAAGTAAACAAGCTCCACAATACTTTTACAAAAATTATGGATATACAGCATCCTCATTACTTTACGGGCTTATTATAAATGTGTCTCACGCCATTGGAGGTAAAGGGGCGAAAATCACCGGACCAACCCATTACTCTACAATTTTTAGTCTGTGATTACAAAACTTAAGAAAGATGAAAGAAGCTGAGAAAAAAATTCAGCAGAAAGTGCAAGGCACTATCCAAAACATTTATAACGACTTGGGGGCAAAACAGGGAGAGGAGGGAGGGGAGGAAGAGGAAAGGAAGGGAACGGATCAAACAGGGGAAGTTGATCACGATTCACGAAGCTATTAAAAACAAGGTCAGCAAAGGGCAGACGATAAAACCCAAAACTACTTGTGTTCAGTTCTACAGAGTAACTGCACTATCCTAAGGTCTCTAACCCCAAAAGCAACAAATTCCATTCAAGTATTTTCTGGGCAGTCATAGATAAAATCTAAAGGTCTATGATCTAACTCTTTTCTTTTTTTTTAAATAGTAGAGGGTTTTACGGCGCTCGCAACTGCATAAGGTCATATGAGCGCCAAGGGGTGGGTGTCTACAGAGAAGTCCTTACAGGGAATCAGACTTACTCTGCTCACCTCTCTAGCTTCAACAGCACAAGGTCTGCTTAGACTATCAAGGCACCCCGGATATAGCAGGTCCCAAGAGAGTGACAAACATACAAAAGAAGTAGAGGAAAATGAAAATAGTAAGGATTAGGAAAGAAAAAGCAGCAGTTCCCTGTTGTAGTTGAGGCACAGTTATGAGCGTGACATGATGAATCAGCCCATTTACAATTCTACTGTGCTGCTTGAACGAGAAAAGTCCCCCCTTTGGGAATGGCCTAAAGCCACTACAGTCAGTGGCACTGCCCCGTCTAACAGAACGTCATGAAAAGGGTTTTTCTCTTCTTTAATTAAAGAACAATTATTTCTTTTTATTATTTGTTTTTTGTTTTTTGTTTTTTTGTTTTTTGTTTAAGATTGCGGGAGATGAAATCGACGCTTCTGTCGACCAAGTGGAGTATTTTTGTTATAATTTATGTATGCTATTTACACCCCACGACATAATTTAGACCATTTAGGGAGCTGGCTGCTTCGGACCAGCCTGTCAGGGCAAACACAGGGTGGGTGAGATACAACGTCTTAGAAGACAGACAGACGCAATCGGTGAACGATTCTTCTCTCTTGAGAATCGTTTTTGATTTTACGGCACTTGCAACACAACCAGGTCACACAGGTGCTGAAGATTAGAGAGATGTTACAAGACAGTAAGAAACAACACAAAAACAAAAATGGAGGAGGAGGAGAGATAAGAACAAATGTTTGATAGGAAAGAAGGAGCAAGCCACACTAGAGCACCCGCCTACCACCCACTCACGTATGAGAATCGAGCTCGGGTCTTCTGTGTATGACAGCAAAGTGTCTAACCGCTACACCACATGTGCCGGTTCACCTGGAAAGCAAAGAAATCAAATGAGATAATGCTGTTACTACCACGAATAATAATTAAAAAAACCAAACTATTTTGTGTCACGACGCGGTGTGTGTGTGTGTGTGTGTGTGTGTGTGTGTGTGTGTGTGTGTGTGTGTGTGAGAGTGAGTGAAATTGAAAAATGAATAAGGGTGGTTTAGAATCATTTAAGGGTGCACAGTTATATTAAGGAGTCTGAAGTCACTGTAGTTTAATTTTCAGGTTTTCATTAGTTTCGTTTAGATCTAATCTTGGGAAAGTCCGTCTTCTAAGACGCCATTGTAATATTGTAAATATGTGAGGCTTCCGTTCACTAGCAGTGCGCACTGTTCCCACAATGACTTGACGATCGATTCTTTGGAGTCTGTTCATCGAAAGGGTATGCTACCCAGCTAGTTGTATACATTCTCTCTCTCTCTCTCTCGCTCTCTCGCTCGCTCTCTCTCTCTCTCTCTCTCTCTCTCAAACGCACACAGACACATAAACACCCACTCACCCCCCCACACACACACACTCACACCCATCCACACACCCACACACAAACACACACACATAGACAGAGAGACACAGAGAGAGA